TACATGTGTACATATGCATAGACGCTGACATGCTTACGTTGTGCAAGATTGCGACGCATATATTGCTCTCTGTGTTCGGTTTCGGATATCCACTTACCTAAAACATTTCGTAGTCACAGAACAAAGCAGAAAGTATGTCATGCACAATCTTGTATCCGTAGCGAGTGTTAATGAAAATGTGCTTTGTTCCATACCTTTTCTGAATCGACCAGGCCAGCTCTTTGATCTTCTGCCTCGACATTCTCACTCAAATCGAAATTATTGCTCGTGAATCCCTCCTGCATGTCTCGTTCAAACGCATTTGATCTGTTATTGTCACCCCCAAACCCATCCGTCTCTCTTTCATCTGTGACATCCTGCGTACTAAGAGAATCCCTTATTACTTTACCACTCAGATTGCTACTTAGACTCTCTCTCATACTAATTGATGTAAACCGATTGCCGTCATTAGAACCACTGTCCGCACTCCCACTCATAATAGAGGCACTCGAATGACCTGTGATCAACGGGTTACTGCCATGACGTGTGCTTTCCTTGTAGAGTGTGTTAATAGTTTTATTCGAGTTTGTTAATGACATAGGGCTACGGATTGAGTTACGTGACGAGATTGAGCCTCGTCTGGGACTCGAATCGGTTTGTAGGTGAGCTCTATTAGGCGAATGTAACGGCGAACCTGTGTGTATACTTGGATTTAGGAGATTTACGCGATCATCATTGTGAGCCTCCATGATATACTCACTTAACGGTCAATATTCAGTAGCGTTGTGTCGTAATGTAGTGTGCAAGTCTCAAAGCTGCGAGTTTCGTTTATATCGTCGGCATATTATTAGTTTATAATTTATAAATATTATAGACTCTATAGATGTAGATCTAGAATTATGACTAATATGCGTATGAGTCAGAGTTGGATCGATACCAAACAATTGCGTCATCACTTTTTTTAAAAGAGTTAAAATTGAAAAAAAAACGCCAATTTCAGTCTACCAGTGTAGTGGACAAATATCGAAGACTATCTTTGGCAATATATTCTTGTGCGAGAAGCCAAGAGGAGAGAAGTCAAGAACCTTATCGCTACGATCTTGTATCGAAATAAAATGTATGTGAGAAGCATTTTTGTTCACAAATTAAAAAATTACAGTATTTATGTATATTCACTGCGGAGTATAACGGTGCTTTGAAATGATACCAGCATACCTATAAGCATCACATGCCGGATAACGTTACTGTTTTAAGTGATACATACATTGTTGTTGTTTTGTAGTACAGGAGTGAACTCAAATAGTAATTACGCGTACACCCAAATACAACCACTCACAATGGCGGCCATGGTCGACACGCTCAAAGATGCAGCTTGTGCTGTGTGCAATATAGAGTGCCATCCAAGAGAGGAGAAGACTATGTTAGCAGGAAATTTGATGATGCATGAGGCTTGCTTTGTCTGTGCTCAGTGTTTTGAGGTGTGTAAATCTTCCGAATTCGATGTGTAATTATGTATACTAAAAGAATAGTATATAGGGGAGATGTATATTACTATGAGCACTTGGATGCATACATAATTCGATACTCAACAACATAAAAACACATGACTTCTTTACACCAGATATGTTGTGTTTTTTAATTCTAAGCACATACGATACTAGAATTAGCATCAATATATCTATACA